CGCTCTCACTTGCTAGTACACAGTGAAAATTCTCTTTCTTGAATACTCATTTGATTGATACAGAACCAATTCAACAATTAGTACAGCGAGTTTTCAATTTTTCCTATTTGGCTTATAGTTCGCCGATATTACTAACTGTTAGTAATGTTTTATGTCGAGGTTCAATCAAACTTATGAATTAAAACGGTGCGATTTTCGTGCCTCGAGAGTGACGTTTGAATCGATTTTAGACCTTAGGTCAAAAAAACCTTGACATCGCAAAAATTCTAATTTTATGTTTGTTCCGTACAGCACCGGTTATTGTACATTTATGAGACTGTCTCAGGAATATTTTTATAAGAAACTCCCAGCTGAAGCGACTCCACGATGCGTTGAAGGAAAAGTACCCGTCATTGACTCGTCAAAAGCGCACTCACTGTTCCAGCAAGACAATCCCAAACCTCACACCGCAAAGAACACTAAGGAAAGGTTTGAGGAACTGGAGGGAGCCAACGTCTTGCCGCACTCAACCTACAACCCAGATGGTGCATCGCCCGATTATGGTCCAATTTTCGCTCAATGGAATATTTTCTGCGTGGAGGTCGATTCGAGACATTTGCTCAAGTTGAAGAGGCATATTAGGAGTTTTTTATTTTAAAACCCAATGAATGATATTTTTAGCACCCAGAAGTTTGCAGGTCGTTGGCGGATCATAGATAATGATGGTCTTCATTTTGAAGAATAATTATTGTTATTTTGTATTAAATTTATCTATATAAACTTGGAATTTTCAGTGGGTGGTAAGGAACTTTTTCTGTGCCAAACAGTTGCAAATCTGAGCTTTTGAGCAGAAGTTGTAAATGTAAACGTAAAGAAGTTCGAAGCAAAAAAACATGCTTTTGGATGAGTTGCAATTGAAGAGGCGTGTAAAAATACCTATTGCAAAATTTAACCGCTAATGATTATAGCAACAAAGCAATTATTACTTGTGCCTCAACCTGATGGAAGGGTATCTCCTGCTTGTAATCACAACCTGTGAACGCCGTATAAAAATAAGCTCAAAATTCCATGTAAAAGACTAATCAACTAACTAGTGAGACAGTAATCTCGAAACGAAGTGTACACCTATTAGGCAGCAAGTGAGTGGAGACTAGTGAACCCTATTTAATAGCAAGGATTAGGAGAGTTTTCGGTGATAGATTGTGTTATGATCAATTGAAATTTTTCACCAGAACTAAAAACGGTCGATTGGCAGAAGTTCTCTGCAGTATGATTATCTTTTCATCTACAGTCAATAACTTTCTATGAATATCAACCACTTCAGGAAGCAATCGAATAGTTGGTCTTTTAATCGCATGATTGTTATTTGGACTAACATGTCTGTTATGGGCCCTTGTACAGACCGATACACGTGTTTCGGCCTTACAGCCCCGTCAATGGGGCAGGCTATTCGTCTTTAGCCAATCCTCTCAGAGTACCTACATCCCCCTATGAAGAATTAGCGACGGCGAACGATTTTTACTATTGCCGTGAAATGAAATAAAACACTAAATCGGCAGTGCTGGCCCTTCGTTTAAGCCGAGACTACACTAAAATCACATAAATATACCACAAGATGATACGAAGGATACACATGCCCCTTGTCACAACATATGTCTAGTAAGAAAAAGATCCCCAGATGTACGAAAAGAAAATTTTTTTATTACTGTTTGCCAACCATTTAGTCGGAATCTGTTCTAACTGTTAGAGCAGTTGCGCCTGACTACACCTTTTTCATTAACCCTAATAATTCTCATAGGGGAAAACAAGGCGATGATATCGATTGTGGCAAAAAGGACATTGGCATCAATGGAAAATTCCTATTCACATAACACTTCACGTTTAAATTTGCGTGGGTGTCGCGTGGAATGACGTTTGACTTCACAGGGACTGCACGGATAGAGCAACTCAGCTTTTGCGTTTGAAATGTCAATATTTGAAATCAACAATATGATCATCACCATGATCCTGATATGCAACTACTTATGAGCAAAGATTGGACGCCTTTTTCTCAAAAAGAATGAGGCTGGAGATCAATAAAGTCGGTAAGGTTACTTTGAGCTGATTGTAGTCTTTGAATTATTTCTCACAAACGCAGCTTCAAAATGTGGAAGAGATGACCGCTGGAGCAGCATCAGAGCTATACCGTAGATGTGGTATCGTGGTCTAAACCAGTTTCTCCAAAATGTGGCGAGTCGACTTTGCAATATGAGATTGAGCGTTTTTGTGAAGAACTGCGATACTGAGTTGTTTCGAACGCGTCTCTCGCTGCTGCGGCCAACTTCTGGAGATATTTCCCGTATACGTTGACACTGGTTGTATACTTGTTGTCGAGCACTTCCCAAAACAGCGTGCTCTGCCAATCCTAGAAAACTGAGAGCATATTTTGCCAAGCAAGGAATTTTCCCTGTTCCATTACAGAGAAATAGTCTTTCCAGAAAATAAGCACAACGATGGAATCACCAAACATTACGCTATCAAATGATTACTAACGGTTCAAAGAAAGAAATTTGTCAGGTGAGAAATATGCGCGTCTGAAACGTAGTTTTATGTAGACTTTACAGCGTTATGAAAGTATTTTCAATATTAAATACAACATTGAGCATGTGACACCAAAACCTCTTCAAATTCAAATCTAACTTGCGCCTGCTTACTAACACCTTTGTGAAAAGTTTGTGCCCAGTGAATGAAATCGGTTTTTCATTTGTCGTCTCACAATGGACAACTACCCAAATTTTCACTGGTGACAGTAAGTCAGAAACCACCGTCCTGCATGGATAGGAGAGCACTGCAAAGTGAGGTTACTTTATTCCAGCGGCTGCGACAACGAAGACCCATATTGCTCGGACGAACGGCTCTGGACAATGTAGTTGAATGATTTCAACACCAAAGAAGGAAAAGGCGTTGAATCGTTACACAAATGAATGCTTATCAGAAGTTCGTGTTAGCTCAAGGACAAAGGATGAAGCTTCCATCGTGAATCATTCTCTAAGGGGTGCTCCATGCGATTGAGGTCACTAAGCACCGTTAGAGATATTAAACACATTTTTAGCGCTCTACACTGACTTGCAGTGGCCTACCAATTAATCAGATCAGTTATGTTATCCTCTCAGAGAGATATGGTACCAGTTCGCTGATCCCGGAGTGCTGAAACACTAGATGAGCTTCAAATGTAGGATGGAGCAAAAAAACTCGTGTGTGCTGGAAAATTTCATCGCTACGCTACACTGATCCTCGTGCTAGTTCAACATTCAGAGAAAAATACATTAATTGTTCATACAATCATTGACGAAAATTGTCTGAAAACACTTAATATAAGTTATATAATTATTCCAAGTGCATGATGAAGTGTAACAAAATATTTCATAATGTGCCATACATACACCATAATCAACATGGTTATAGTTATCATAGCCCTTTAAAACCATTTTGAGCCTTTTAAGCCTATTCTGAGCTCTTTCCCACTTCATGATCCGAATAACAGAACGATAATCTCAAAAAAAAAAAAACTGGTCTACCGAGTCTGCACCGATTAATAATTACTGAATAAGTGTTGATTCCAGTGCGACGCTGCGATTGGACGGTACGTTCTGGGAAATAGAAATAGCACTTTTTGTCACTTTTATTACGATGCCACCGAGTTTCGCCGGCAAGAATCCTCTTGTTTATGATTACAGATTGATTCTCATGGTCACGAATTTTCAAATATCAAAGTCTCCAGAGATGTTAGCTGATGACGCCGTTAATATTGGTTTCTCTTAACTTCTAAAAAAGAACAAGAACACAGAAGTTGAATAAGTGGAAGATAACATGTAACCTCACATGCATTGTGCTAAATTGCTCAAAGAAATTGAAACGAAGGAAGACACTGATAAGTGCTGAAAACGAATCTAGTGGTGATTCTTCTAACTGCAACTGAGTGCAATGTGGTGTAGATATGAAACTTTCACCTTGCACATAATCGACACATTTGTACAAGATATGCCAAGAATTGGAAGTCCATTGTGATACACACAAAAATATTTGTAGCACAAAAGATCGTCCTGTGGAAAGCCACATTTGTTTACGCGATGAAATATCTTGTTAGTATTTGCCTTGAGATGAAGTCTATTAGACTGATAGAGTTGAAGAACTGCAAAAGTTTCAGTCCTGCTCGTACATGCTATTATTCAGACTTCACACTTTGACAACAGTTATATTAGAGGGCTATTTGGGTACTCTCCACTTTAGCTTACGACGCAATGTTCGACCGATGAGATATGTTGTGCAAGACTAGATCACAAATTCAACTTAAACAAGAATTGCACTGAGATATACAGAACTGGAAAACACATGTGCCCGAGACCAAGATGCTTTCGCTTAGAGGTAGAGTTGTCTTCTCCAGTATAGCTCATGGGAGGAATAAACCTACGGAACGAGGTTTTCAGATTTTACTCTGGAGTTATCTCCGCAAAACTCTGGTGCATATCGGTAGCGATTTTCCCATGAATGGATACGTCGAGTACTACGTCGTGATGAAGCCTATGTGTGATTTGCTGGATAAAATAAGGTATCTTTGGGCCAATAGCTGGTACAAGAGCCTTATCTTCGCTGAGTACTTATTGTCCAGAACCATCTTCCCTATCTGCAGCTGTACAGAAAATTTGAACGATATTTTTGATGCAAGTCATCTACCGGCAGATAATAAAGGATACCTGGTAGTCCCAAGGAAATCAAAGCGCACAGGGCTATAATGAGCTCGGGCGTAAGCCTTCGATGAGTGGATTCAAGATAGAAGTCTGCTCACGCAAAATTGTAAGAGGAGACTGCTTTTACACAGGCGACATTCTATGCTATTGATGAAAGCGGCACCATTATCCCGAGAACATGGTGACTATGTATGAGATGTATTAGAGCACTTATGGTTGCAGATACTCTGATAAATAAGTTAGCATTTGCAGTGAATGCAGCTGTTTTAGAAGAAATAGTGATAGCAAAACGGTGGTCTCGGTGGCCTAGTGGTAGCACGCGCCTGCGGTATGGGTGAAACGCGGGTTCAACTCTCGCCTGGGCCAAAACTTTTTAATGTCACTCAGCATTCTTAAATATATATCTAGAACATTACAACACTGCTGATAGCAGTGAAAACAAAGAGTTCTTATGCATGACACACATAGCTGTCTAAGAAGTTGTAGACCTTGAAGGATTGAAGATAGAGAATTCAGCCTTGATCAATACATGAGGGAGGCACCAATAATTCCGTTTTGACTAGCATCGCTAAAGCTAACTGCATGAATTGTGGCCTATACAGTGACTTGCAATGTCTGACAATGTATCGAGTCAGTGCTACTACTTTTCCTAAACAAAACCGGTAGCAAGTTCGCGATCCAAAATGCACAGAAGGCTTGGCGAACCTGTTAGTGGAACTGGACTAAAGACTACATGGGTAATGCGAAACAACTCAACTACTGCACCGGATGCGCCACGGAGCAATCGGTGAGATACAAAAGCTCCGTTTTTGTTATAAAAAAAAAGTACTAAATATACCTGCCTAGCTCTACTAGCGATATAAATCGATGAAAAGGAAACACAAAACAAACGACACATCTAGCCCAGTTTTCTGAGCCACATATGATAGCATGCAATTCATTTGCGCCTTTATAAGTCAACTCAACACTTTACCAATTCTCCAAGAAGTAGCATTCGAATACGGGCGATGCTGAACGAACTCAACGAAACATGTGGAAAACGACTAGCCTGCAATTTCTTCCAATTCAAAAATGATCTACATTGCGATAGAAAACAAAGATGGACAACCGATCGTGGTTGCAATTGCGAAAATGTCAATTCTACAGATTTATTCACACAGAGCCCCGTGATCAGCTAAGTGGAAAGTACTCACTAGCAAATTTGAACTAGTGTTCGACTACGATGTCTTGAACGATATATAGAGGTATACACGATACTAGCGAGTATTTTTCCACTAAAAAGAAAAAGTTTGACATGCCGCCGTTTTATGAGCGAAAGCAGACCATTGGGCAGCTCAGCTGGGCGACAAGAACCTTCGTGAATCACTCGATGATTAACACAAGAAGGTGACACAGGCTCTTGTGTATCGTATCGATAAAACCATATGAAAGCAGGGCAATTTGACAGAACAATAGCACATGCGGAAGTGCTGAGAAACTTGGATAATTGAAAATTCTAATTTGGAACACATAATCACAAACATTTCTCAGAATCATGGCAGGGAAGGGAAATGGTACAGTACTCGTAATAAAAAGGACGAGGTTGAGGTTAAGAGAAAAGTTAATGAAAACGAAAATGCTAATGTTACAAGGAAAAGTGATGTAACAACTAAGATTACTGTTACAAGTAGAAGTAATGAAGAGGTTAATTTCAAAAGAAAAACATAGTGACTTAGGGACAAAGCGCTTAAGACAGCGTAGTAAACAAGGAGCACTTAAAAGTACAGCATAATCAACACTGATAACGGGCAGCGCAAACCACAAGAGAGGAGACTATGACCAGTTAGGTTGATCACACGTATACGACAACTCTAAGGCAAGCTTCTCAATCATTTTGGTTACGCTAACTGATCCAAGAAAATGAATTTACATTTGTTCCATAGCTAAACCCCAGCACTAATCGAATGACTAACAATGAATACCTAGCGTGATGAAAGGAACGAACATTTGGTTGTATTTGACAGATCAGAACGAAAAAAACAAAACAAATCACTCGGCACATGTTCGTCTACAGATCTAGAGGCTTCATATCCACACGATACATTTTAGTGTTAACAGGAAGATGATACCTAAACAAATTTGAAGATCTTTAGTTTTTACCAGTGAGAATGTCTTATGAATTACCTATTATCTGCTTTTCGAACAATACAAAACTCCAATTTAGAAACTTTTCCGAGTATCCAGTTTCGGCGTGGAACATTGGGAAGTTCGCAAGAAACACCAAGACGAGATATAGAAGACTCTTTCACAAAATAGCTGTAGGTAGACGAACTAAATAATTTATGAATAAAATAATAAATCACTAACGACATTGGCAACATAGGATTACCAGAAGGATAAAGCTTTCAGTATTGATCAATCCCTGAGGGATGCGCCAAGTATTTGCCCTACTTTTTGCATTTTATGAGGTAATTGAATGCATATCAGGCCATTACATTGGCTCTTGGTGGCCTACCGATGTATCAAGTCATACTGCTACTTCCACGCGAGCCTAATACCAATTCATCGATCCCAGAGTGATGGAAAGCTTGGTAAACTTTGAGCTCGAGATCCATTAACCACGTGTATGTGGCAAAACACCCCTAATGACTGCGCCACACAAGCACTATGTAAAACATCCCTTTGTGGATGGTGAATGCCATTTTGACTCTCAAGTTTTCGAAGGCCTTTCCATTGTATAGCGCTTTTCTTTTCTACAGTTTCAGTAATCATTTGAGTTCCCAGATCTCAGCAACTTCAAAGCTGCGACTTTTTTTCAGAAAGCCTTCTTAATACGCTGTAGCATTGATTTTAAAGAAAGGGCTTCTGTAGACTACACTAATACACATAAGATAGCACAAATTTCGGCGATTCTGAAGATAAATTCGACTTTTGACGTCTTTATATTGCGCTGCAGGAGCGAAGAGAAGATTGCATTTCACACGCGCAGTTTTCTTCGCATATAACGATTATATTATCTAAAATTATTTCAGAGCGTAGAGATTTAGTGCCAGAGTAATGTAAGAAAACTATAGATTTTTCCAAAACGAGGAAAGAATCCTAACTAATTAACGAAAATTGCGTATCGATAAGGATAATCGATTGACTGTTGCCTACAAAGGCTTGATAAGATGACGAAAAGAAACTGAATGGGAGTTATGAGATCAATTTTACCTGAACAACATATATGAATTGTGTTCGCTGTTCCATATAGCCAGTACAGTGGAACCTATATCGATGTCTTGTATAGCAATCATTCGATCCATGGATTGTAAGCCTAGGATCAATAGTTAAGAGAAAAGTTGCACACAATAAACCTCTTATCAGAACTCACTTATTTTCGTTTGGATATGGACTTCATTGCGTTGGTTGTTACTGCACGACGAGTAGTCAGCAACAGCTCTGAAAAGAGGACTTGATTTCGAAATAGATGGAAGTATGTAAAAAAAGTATCAAAGTAGAACAGCATACACCGATTCAACAAGTTCAGGCAAGCATTCAAACGCTAAAGCACTTTCCTTCATGTCTTCAGGCTGGCTGTAATTTAAACAAATTAGATTAATCTTCAAACAAGATCAAGCACTGTAATCCGCCGTCTAGTGCTTTACCTTGTACAGATCTTTTCAGTATCTAAGAGAGGATTTGGGACCACAGTCTGTGTAGCGATTGACGTGCCACTAAGAAATCCTAAACGATTTCTAAAAATTGCAAATACCTTCACAACGGAATAAATTTGTTAGTATCCTACTCAGCGATCCTTCAGATGAAGCTATGGCGGACTGAATCTCATTCTCTACAGTCTCGCAAAATGCACGACCCTCCGCCGAATTTCTGATGATGTAATCCCTTAGGCGGTCACGTTCAGCCACTAACCACTTCAAAGAGAAGTTCTAAATATCATCAAAATAAATGTAAGAATGAAACATAAGCTGGGGTGAAAGAGAAATTACGGACAAATTCCTGTTGTGAAAGTTTCGCTTCATACTGCATTTCCTTCTTCATCCTCGTAAGAACTTCGTCTTTCTTCTGAACGATACCTTTCGTCAACATGTCGAGTTTGTTCTGAAAACCTTCATTTATAAACATCCGCTGTATCTGGCTAAATTATTTTTCGCACTTTGGAGTCCTTCTCAAGTTCACTACGTATTTCTGCAGTTACATTCCTCCTGAAAGCTTCGCTTTGTGGATCTGAGTGGAGACGAACAATTTCCATCTCTTTTTCTTCAGTTCATTCAACAGTTGACGAATTTCCGTATCTTTAGCCTGGAAAATTTTCATTTGAATTTGTAAAAAAAAAACGTATGTGAGCTAAGGAGAAATTTGCTTTAGAACTATTTTGAAACCTAAGAAAACTAAAACAAAGGTTCAAAAAATTCACTATTGATTTTTTCATTGATAGTTTATGTACTTTCACTATGGAGAAGATATATAGAGGATTAACAGAGAACTTAAATAGATTTGTGAGTAAATTTTCGGCTGAACAAACAAGAAGAGGAATACCTCAACAATTTCGTCGTACTCAGTACTTAAACGATTCTTTTCCAACTCCATTGCTATTATACTCTCTTTGAATGTGTCATTTTTAATAGATTTTACCTTAGCCTCAAGGGTTTCTGCTTCACTCCGCAGCCTACAAAAAAAACTTAGTTTACAAATGCGGGAGCGGATATCATTATCAAATAATAAACCGATAAGAAACAGATTTTCTCCTACTTATCTAGTTCTGCATTTTTTGCTGCAAGTTCATCAGACCATGATGTCTTAGTATCCTCATGAAGAACTTGGAGATTTTGAAACTCACTATCTCGTTTCGCCAGCATATCGTTCAAGACCTATAGCAATTCCTATGAAACTTTTAACAATATTTGTGTGTAGAAAAATTTCTTCTGAAAGCTAACTCGTTAACCTGCTCGGTACGACAGTGATTTTTCGCATCGCCCGCGAGCGCGTGGCCGATCAGCAGCGGAGTACGCTTTTACCACAATATTGTAGAATCGTAATCAAAATTTTGCCTTTACTAAAAAGATTTTTGGTCACTAAATGGTAGGAATTGAGAGAGACTTTAATAAGCTTGTTTCAGCCGAAATAGCGGCAAATCCCTCCGCTGGAATCCGCATTTCTCAAGCGGTAAACCACACGCTAAGAAAAGGTTATATTTCGAACTAATATCAACTTCTTTTTCTGCTTATTCGTATTCATCCATATTTCGACCATATTTCCCTTTCAATTTTTGAGTCATAATAATTCACTAACATACACTACAGCAGAAGAATAGATAGTTAAAACAACCACATTTTCATTCTGCACTTCTGAAAATGAAATATCAACATATATGACGAAAAGGACAT